TACACTGCCAGGATCTGGTGCAGTTTGACCCGGAAATATAAGGGAAATATGTGTGGAAAGAGTGTTCTGATTTCCTCCTCATTTCCGGGGAAAACAAGGGCGCCACAGCCTAAATATGGCGATCATCTTTTTCCGGGGAAAAACACAGGAAAAAGGGTGGGTATGATGTCATCCGTATTAGCGTCCGAACGTAGCAATTGACTTACCATATTGGGGAAGTCCAAGATTTCCCTTTTGCCTCCGGAAAAAGACATGATCTATATTTCTCGCTTGCCTACCGGAGATATCCGGGAAATAATTTCCGCCCATTGTTACCCTTTTGGGAGAGACCATTGCCTTGGAAACGGGCAGCATATTTCCACGGACAATGCGTAACCTTCTTCCTCCACGTATTTACGGTGTCGAACGAAGCCCTCGACCAGATTGGGAAGACAGCATTGTCCTGTCGCAATATCAATTCCAGCCATGGCCTGCGTGCAGCGCCGGCGAGGACAGCTGGCGGCAACGCCCTGTAAGCTCAGCCACAGATACGTCGGCCCGGACCATTCCTGGTTCAATACATTCAGTACCATTGCGACAACGCCCTAGAAGCTTGATAATCAAATGCGCAAGAGGCTGGATGCACGCGAGCCATTCCTCAGTACTGGTTCAATACATTCAGTACCGTACCCTCAGAACTGGCGAAAGCACTTGCGAACGCGCTTCCGCCGCAGAGTGGCACTCTTACTCACGACACATCCGGTATCAGTCTTGAATTGGGTTCTATCGTGATCGGGACCACCGTAGGGGCGCCTGTGACGGCTCCCATCGGTCAATGACTGTCAGTGACAGGAGGAAAAGATCAATGACCATCAATGACTTGCGATGACGGTCAATGTCATTTCGTTATTCGATTTTCGGCCGCGCAGTGACAGTCAGTGACAGAACCAACATTGGTCGTCAACGTCAGCGGCTGTCATAACGAGACATCATTCATGGATCGTCACTAAGGTACACAGTTCGCGATACAGGTATGATGGACCGACGGGTGTGGGGCTAGGTCAAGGACGTATCGATTCCTGGACCCACAATCGTGGGCTGGTTCTTGTATCTTCGTTGGCTATTTGGTACTAGCCACGTTGGGATATCCGGGGCGCTCGCCTGAAAAGCGAGAACACGGTCCGGCAAGGCGGGATGCCGTATAGGCAGGGACCAATACTGCTGGTGCTGTACGTCAATCACCCCTCATCCTCCCATAGCGACTTCGCTGCTTTCACCCACCTGACGCCAGACCCCGCAGCTTCGTACGCCCTCGTCGCCCTCGTCCGAGACGGATACGCCCAGCAGGAGCCATACCTGCACAACACGAGTCCTGTATGTTGGCGACGGATAAAAGTGAAGGAATATGTCGGCGGCTTGCAAGTCGACTGTACTGTGGATGGGTGGTGGCTGCTGAAGAGGCTTGCTGGACTCAAGACTCATGTATCCCATGCAGAGGGCAGTATTCCTGATAAGCTTTGACTTGCGTTCAAGCACAAGGCCCTGCCAGACACCCGTTATTTTGTGGCTATTGACTCGAATACTATGAACGCACCGTCACGGAATACTTGAGAGGATACGAGATTGGGTGTGCAGGCAGGGGACGTTCCGACGAGGTGATCGTCGACACCGTGTCCTTCTTTTCCCTTTCGAAGTTTACGGCCTCGTTCAGCCCGCTTTTGTTGGGGTCGCGAGACTGCCCATGCATAGTCAGCGCACACGAAGAAATGCCATGCGGTCGTAGACTTGCCGCCATCGGCTCACTCATGATTTTGACATGAGGATGACGGTCATATGCAGTCATGGCTGGGGGCAGCATGCGAGCAAAGAGGTCGGAGCGACAAGGGCTAGGCAGCAGATATTCCGTGGGTTTCGTGTCATCTTCGACGAAGCTGTATAAAGTCGCAAGGAGGATGCGCTGGGGTGACATAGCGTCCGGGTGGAAGGACGCAGAGCGACCGACGTCATATATACTTGGCCCGCGCATGCAATTCCAAATATGCACGAGACGGAGCTAAGTAGGGAACAAGGGGCGTATGGATCGAAAATGATGATGAGCGCTCGTACCCTTCCGACGAACCAGGAGTAGCTACCTAGGAACTCCGTTGTAGGCTTGTCCCTTCCGTAATGAATTCCAACTATCTGCTAGCCTCCACTATCCTCTCCCACCCGTGCCTTGCAATCGTGGCGACTCCCCGGTCTGGAGCCGTCAGCTATTCCAGTCGAAGAGCAAGCGCGCGCGAGCTGCATCCACCGAGACAGAATATTGGCAGTACTGCTGGACATGGAGATAGACAGCAGACTGCACATGGGGACATCCGTTGTCAATGGCAGAGAGGCTTGACGAGAACACATTGTAGTTTGTCGAGACAGCAAGAAGAACGTCGCGAGCCGAGATTGTCGGTGCGGTGAAATAACGTTCTCGGCCCGAGAAGTCGTGAACACGATCACCTGATATCCCCCTCGCGACGCGCAAGGTCTATCGTTTGGTGACACTATGAAGCGAGCATAGAGTCGTGACGCGTTAGTAGCCGCCACATTGATCACCTCCACGGAGCGTAAGGGCCTTGTATAAGATGAGTGACGTGATGGATTAGCAGGCTATATACGTAGTGTCCGAAGTAGCACGAGCCAGTTATGCGTGATGCGATATTCGAATATACAGATGCGGAAGCCAATGTCCGAAGCATATATACAAACGCAGGAACCAGTGTCCGAGGAATGAGCAGTATAATAGATGTGGAAAGTAAAGTATGTGAGGTAAAGAGCGGGGGTGTAGGTGGGGACACGCGAACGAGCTGGTATGTGAGCGCGCGCCAGCGCGTGCTGAGTATGGGTAAAGAGCGTGATGCATCCGGTGACGCTATGAGTGATTTAAGTTGAGTATCATCTCAAGCTAGACCATCGAAGAACTTGACAGTGTCCAGTGAAAACCTATCGGACTGAGCAGAGGAAGTGAGGGTATTGACGGCGCGTCTGTGGCTCGAGACGAGTGCGTGATCTCGGTGGACGGCTCAGATGAGGAAGAAGGTGACGAGGGTCTGATGTATGAGTCCGAAGATCTTGAGTCGAGCGTTAAACTTGAGTACCGTGGACTTGGCGGGCTACGATCGATCTGGCTGTAGGTTGGTGGTGGCAGCAGTATGTCCTCGTGGAGCGAGAGCGAGAGCGACGCCGTTCTCGAGAGGTTCTTCTCGCAGTCCCAGCTCCGCATCGTTGAAGTGGAGCGGGTTTGAATAGGCCGCGGCGAAACCAGAAGAGATGGTGCGAAAGGAGGTAACGGCCCGGCAAAGGTCCACGAACCATCACGCTGCTGATATGCGACGTGCATCGAGGGTTTTCTCCCTGGTAGTCATTATTAGTGTGAGTTGAGATTATAGTGGCACCGACGCACTGCAACCCAGATCCGGTCCGCGGTAAGAGGGAGCGGGCAACTCAGGCCTCCTCGATATGTCCAGTATCTTTGTCCTGGGACTAGAGGCAATGCCCAGCGTACTCCAGGGAAGTCCTCGTTGGCCGCATTGTCCAGACCAGCGTATGAATACAATATAGGCGGTGCATAGGACTGACGTCAAGGCGAGAGCAACGAGCAACAGCAAGCCAGCAATTAATCCGCCTGGAAGAGTTTGTCAGTACAGGTAGGAGGCAATCGAGTTGTGGAGCTTGCCTGAACTCATGGCTACCTGAGCAGAGTGTGTCGTGAGCGTAAGGACAGGAATGTCGATAAAGTCGGTGGGTCCGAAGCTAGCGGGGCCCAATATACAGTCAGTAGAGTCTAAGCAGTCGTGTAGATATATGGCCTCGACAAAGCGGAACGGGCGGGTCTACCCGAATAACGGAAACAAGCGCGAGTTGGAGAACAAAGGCCTCCGCCGAATCGAGCTCGGCCGTGAAGGGGAGGCTTTGGACAAGGGCCATGCTGAATTCAAATCCAGCAGCGCATGGCAAGGCTATACGTAGCCGGGCTTCGGTCGGTTGACATAATAGGGACCCGGTGCTCAGAGTACAAGCCTGGGGCGAGCAAGACGCGGTGCTTGACAAGCGCAGTCCATCCAGGGAGCGAGATTCGCAAGAGTTTATTCGATACATCGCCATCAATCTAGGCATTCATCAGCGCTAAGCTGGCCGACAGTTACTCTGGTAACGTAGCCTTAATACGTCCGCGCTGTCAAACAGAGGGGTAACAAACGGGCAAGTGCGCGAAGCCTACTCGCGACGCCGGCTTATGCAAATTCCTTTGTTGGCTTCGCCGGACAGAGCTGAGGTCCTGAGGCCCCTCACTGTGACATTCAGGTTGTCTATATGGCACGCCACCGCAATACGTGACGTCGGGGACGCAACGAGTCCATGTATCTCGACAAGCGCGGTGATAGAGTGCGGGCGAAAGTAGATCAATAGGAGGCCTACAACGAGGCCACCCCACCCCAAATAGGTCTATCATCCAGAAGAACGAATAGTTTCTTGTGTGGAAGTAACTGCATCCATCGGATGGAGAAGAAGGGGATGGAGTAAACATCGCAGGGTGACGGGTGCTGGATGGTGGATGGTGGTGGTACGAGCGAGCGCGCCAAACGGCCCGAGGTCCGTCATTAAGCGACCTTATGAGGCGCATGCAGGTAAGTTCACGACTAGTCAAGCCACATGAGCGCTTGTCATCGGCTTTTTATCGGTCTTATGCTACCAGCTGCTGTTTGATTGTCCTTACGCAAAGCCCGAAAACCTCGATATACGTCATTGCACGATG